CGATGGCAGGCAGCTCTTGCAAATTATTTTTCTGCTGCCGTTCCCACCCTCATGACATAATTAAGCCTTTTTTGTTCACTTTGGGACCCAAAGGCATCCCAACCAAATGCGTACCAAGTGACAAGAAGACACCATCCACATCGTCTGGGGCTGGGCTACCTGTCTGCCTGACTTACTGACTGACTGACTCTGCCTGGCTTGCTGACATTTCTCTGCTTTATTTTTCTTTCTTTTTTTTTCGGAAGATCTCCTACGGCGGAAAATTATCATTGTTGGCTGCAGTTGCAGATGCAGTGAAATCTCCAGTCGAGCATCTTCTTCATCCGAAGACGTTGTCGCTGTCGCTGTCTATGTCTATATCTCTGGCCCCTTGTCGCTGGTAGGCTTTGCTTGTTTATTGTTTTATTTGCGGCTTGGTCTTATTACATTTTTTGTTGCCTACTTGTTATTGTTGCAGTTGTAATTTGAGTTCGCAATTTCTATTATTTACTTGCAGTTTCTGGCTCAGTTCGGTGAGAACGGCTGGCGATGGCTAGAGGGTTTTCCCTTGGATACTAAGACACGATATGAATCAAGCAGAATCGGCATACAGACGCAGATATCATTATTATTATTAGAATATTCATTATGAGTGTGGGTATAGGCAAGGGGATACTAATTTGCAATGTAATTGGATCAACATTTCTATAAGAAAAGCAATTCAATGAAGGAGGCATGAACTGAACATTAAACCATTCTCAGTTCGATCAACAGATCAATTTTCCATTAGAATGGCTAGACGCATATGTATCTCATTTCAGATCTGAACAGAGAAAGAGTCAAATGTTGATAGAATATCAAATATTTAGGACCTATTCAATCATGTAAAAGGACTTAATAATAAGAGCTTCTAATATCTGACTGAAATAGATTTAAGGAATCATTAAATTTGAAAAATTACACTTTAATAATTTATAAATAGATATCCTAACCGATTTTCAAAATATATAATGGATATTTGAGACCTTAACTTCACACGTTTCAGATTTAAGCCGGATAATATATATATTCCGGTTGGAATATCTATAGATAAACGTATCTCATATTTAGATCAATTTTATTCTATGATATGTACGTATCCGATTACTCCTTTGTCGTATCCATGCGTTCGTTTCCCCATTCGGAGTGCAAATGTTTCCCAATCATACGATTATTCTGCCGCTCCGGAATGCACTAAACACTTTCAAGATTGAATACTTTACGTAGCGGTTCTTCAACTCATTTCCCACAACATAAATGTCATACTCATTGTTCTCATAGAACAGAAATTATATGTAATTCATATGCACTATTCTTCACATTGGTGCTCTGAACACTTTAGCACTTGTTGGCTGTTGTTATTGTTGTTGCTTGTTGGTGGTTGGTGGTTGGTTGTTGGCCTACGAGAACAATTAACTTCATTCAAGTTTAGCCATCATCTGGCGCACAAAGCGCTCGTTTGCTGCCATTAAAGTCAAGCGGTCACTTCAAGTAACACAAAAGAATTAAGTTTTAATTAGAACATTGCCACACTCGCACAGGCACTCTCACACACTTGGGTTCCCAAGTTGCTTGTTGAGTTCAAGTCGGCCGTCGGGCGGTCACACCCCGATTTAAAGGCAAGGTGCCCGGTTGCAGGAGCAGGTTGCTGAAATGGGTCAACGGGTCTTCCCTGAATGGTCAGGATGGCTACGCCGAATGTGGGTCAGCTGTCCATCCGTCCGTCCGTCTGTTGCATAAAACAAATTAACAGGTTGCCACATTGAGATAGTTTACTCAATACAAATCGATTTCCTGGCAATTTGTTGGCTGGCTTTTGAGGAAAAGCTGTCGCAGCAGCATTTAAATTTGAAATTTGGGTTATTTAACGGTTTCGGCTCGGGTTCGGGTTCGGCAGCAGCCGCACAAACGACCGTGCCACAACGAGATAAACGGGTTGATGGGGGGGAAAAACGAAAGACTTGGGCGACAAACTGCGATCGCAGGCCTGGGCCACTAAATTGTCCAGCCTCGTTCGATTGACGGAGTATACACATTAGTACTGGATATTGAGACACACACACACACACACACACACACAAACACAGTTGCTGCAACAGAGATTTACGAACATATCCCGTCAGCTAATATGGCTATAACGGCTATAACTTGCCTTGCACTTGTCCCGCTTTTGCAGCCTGGCCCAAAACAAACAGCCAAGACAGAAGCCAAATGGCACAGAAACTCGCACAGGCAGGTGGGTGGTAGGTCAAGTGGCAGGCCATATCTGGGCCTTAACTATGGTTATCCTTGGGAGTGTTTTCTTCTGCTGCACACTTTATAGTTCGCACTCGATCCGCACTCTCACATCGCGAACACAACCGAAAACCGACCGACAACGCAAACACCACACGACCAACTGAAGCGATCTTCACCACTGCAAGCCCCACTCAGTGGCCGGGCTCCACTGTGTGGAGAGTGGGGACTGCGATGAGACTAGTTTTTCACACAGTCGAGAAAACAAGAAAAGCCATGACAAGTGGCAGACGGGGCGGAAAAGCCTGGAGAAGAGTGGGGGAGGCAGAGCAGCAAGTGGCTGCCAGTAGTAGTGAATCCTTGGCTCTCTATACGGGCCAGCCCATAAGCATTGGCTCTACTCAGATTAGCAGAAACCGTTGCGGTCTTGCGCTGCGTTCGTTGCGTGTTGCAAAGACAAAAGGCAGGCAGGCAGGCAACGAAAGCGAGAAAGATAGAGAGCAACAAGGAAGGAAGGTGTCCGACAGCAATAGCAAAAGCCACTCGTAAAGTATAAACAACAAAAGTTATTAACATAAAGCATAAACATGCAGCCCCGGCCAGGGCAGGCCCTAGGCCGTCGATGATGGCCCCAAACCCAGACCCAGAGCCGGAGCCAGAGACAGAGACAGAGACAGAGCTGTTGATGACTTGATGCGCCACAGCGCTGTGGAAAGCAGCAACAAGTCAAACCATCAAACACAATACAAATCACTGAATACTGAATACGGAATACGGAATCGGATGGACGGACAAAGCCAGACAGCCCAACAAAGAAGCGATAAGCTGATGGATCCAATCAAATCGTAAGACGGTGGTAAGGGAAGCCCATGCCCATGCCCAGGCCCAGGCGGCTCTGTTGCAGTTGCAATAAAGCCAGAGTCTTAACGGTTCTTGGCTCAGCTGGAGATGAATGCACGATCGAAACAGAACAGAAACACAAGGGAGCCCGAAGTAAAAGCGATGAAGAAAATCTGAAAGAAAAGCAAAGGCATAACTTCATAACTTTACATAACACCTGAGTGGAGACGGCAGACGATGCGGCAACTGACCGACCGACGGCTCGAATCAACCTACGCAAATGCTAAGGGGAACGGGTAAGGGTGAGGGGAAGGGGAAGGGGAAGGGAAAGGGGCAAGCATAAGGTACGGTAAGACGATCCGAACCGATGGAGTCAGCGGCTTGGAAAATTGGCGCGTGCGAATGCTACTACTTGTTGGGGTTGGCTTGTGGTTTGCTGCCGCTGCTGTTGCATGGGCAGAATCAATGCTAATCATCGAGGGCTGGCCAAGAAGTTTGTGGCCAGGTGTGTGCCAGCAGGTGAAAGCAGGAAGAGCACTGCCCCGTAAGACGGTATGCAAAAAAATCAAACAACTCGAGTGTCAGATTACACATTGGCTTCGACATGAGGCAAACAGCGATTTGTCTATGCATCGATGGGCATCGCTTCGAATATGTTTCAAAATCCTACAGATCAATTACTACCCATGAAAAGTGCACAATTCGATCAACATCACATATGCATATCCATATTTGCAATTGATTTTTATTTATTGCACTCAAATCTTGAAGTCTGCGGCTAAGTTTTTCAATTTGATGTTTGTTTGACTGCAAATCCATTCCATTTCCAACTAGTTTGGGGGATTTCGTGGCCTGCGGACTTTCGCTTCCAGTTTATGCAATGGAATGGCTAGGTGACAAAAACGTTTCACCAAATCGCATCAAAATTCACGAATGCGACGAACTCGCAACCGAAAACCATTAAATATTGTATGTATTGAATGGATGGAGTTTGCTCATATTTCTGGGACTGCACTTACGTATGTGGATAGTTATGTTATCGATTTGAATTAGAGGGCCCCTTCTTCCCGAATCATCAATTTGTACTGCGATCGAATAACATTTACCAGATTTACGGGGTTTTCGTCATCCTCATTTGGATATGGAACTCTGTATAGTAAGTAGATTTGAGGATATGGTCATGCCCTATGGTCCCACAACAGGCCCCTGTGGTATCATACTGCTTCAAGGATATGGCCAATTTGGTCAAGCCCTTTACTGCCTCCTCAAATGGCGAAAATCTGTGGCATTCACAACAGCCCTGGATGGTTATGGTTGGTTCCCCGGATGGTTCCTCTAGCTCTTAGGCGTTACACAAGATGGGCAGACATTCATATCTGTCTACGGCTTAATCGACCCAGCTATCAAGAATACATATAACTTATTGCGACGAATCCATCGACCAGATTTATTCTATACTTCTTTCTATGTTCTTTGAATCTATGTATTATTTAACACATTTAAAACCATTTTTTAAATTTAAACCTTTTTTGAGCGCATCTAATTCAGAACTAGTTCAGAATATCGCTCGCGAATGTTTCTAGAAGAATGTTGCGAATTTCGTAAATGCGAAGATGTTGCCAAGACAAATGCTGCGAATTAAGTAAGTGTCGAGCAGCAGCATAGCTGGTGCTGCAACCATTTAGCAAATGCATGCACCAAGCAACAGACTGGCAACTCTATCTAAAACCGCAATTATTTAAACATGTGGATTTTGTCGACTATATGGAATGTGTATTTGAAAACCGCCAAAATTTAGAGCAAACAAATAATTTGAACATAAATTTATTTATTTATACTCGTGTTGTACGTATTTCGGGGACTAAGACATTATTTTGATTGCAGATATTCAGTAGATTCATGCAGATTCGAGTTTGAGTACATAATATATCACGTGTGTTGCAGCTAAAGAAATTGCTTGATTCAGTTATCATCCGCATGCTGCATGTTCTCCAGACTGAACTGCAAAATAATGACAATAAAGTTCATGGCATACGAGACCAGGAAAAGCCAGAAAGCATGATCCAAGGTGAATAGACCCAAAACGGAGAACTTAAGGCTGTCCAAGGGTGCGAACAGGGGAAACGGTGTCCCCGCCATGGCCTGCAAAGAGAGAGAGGGAGAATTAAAGACTTTCCCCCACCGTCTACCACCCACCTGATGATGGGTTAATTCTGGCGGGAGATAACCCAATTCCAGGCATCGCTGACGCAGACGACCGTGCCGCACCTGGCAGAGATGGGCTGCCAAGATGAGAGCATACAGCTGGATGGTGACAATCAGACAGTAGTTGGAGATGGTCAGCGGTACGCCGTGCTGCGAGACAAAGTACGACATGTAGGCGTACATGTTGGCCAGAATGTTGACGAAGTAGCCGATGACCAGCAGAAAGATGCCCAACTGAAAGAGATCCACAAAGCTCGCGGAGAGGCGGAGCCAGCCGCGCTCGCGTTTCAGGAGCCGAGCCAGAGCCGGCGACTCCTGCTCCAGGTGGTCCAGGCTGGCCAGGAGCAGCAGCATGCCACCGAATATCCCATTCGCATAGACGCTGCTCACATGCTGCACATACAGCTGGACCCCGTAGGCCAGGAGCTGGGTCCAGGGCAGACGACTTCCCGCCCCCTGCAGGAAGGGCACATTGCAGAGGAGTTCGTACAGCGAGAGCAGGAGCTTGGACCACAGCAGCAGCGTTGAGCCCCAACCCAGCTTCCGTTTGCGGTGGAGCTGCGCCAGGCCGTTCAGCAGCCTGGCCAATCCCCGACGATGCCAGAGGTGGGCGCCCAACAGGGCCAGCGAGATGAAAACATCGCCCGTCATGGCGGCCAGGGCAATGTTCTTGAAGATCATCGAGTGCCGCACATTGGTGGCATCGTACATGGCCGCGCTCTTCCACAGCATCAGGGGGGCCAGCCCAATCAGGAGGAGCCATCGCAGGACACCGCTCAGGGTCAGCAGGCGGCGGCAACGGGCTCCTCTGCCCCGGCTGTAGCTGAAGGGCGCCAGCGCCAACAGCTGCCAGAGCCAGAGGAGCAGGCAGAGTCCGCAAACGTGCGGCAGTCGTGACATGTTCCGGGCAACTAAGGACCCTAAGGGACTCTCTAATGCAGGGCAAGGCTGCATTTCGCGTTTCGGCGAAACCTTTCTATCTGCTGGAAATCAATCGTAGCCACGACACGCTCGTTATCATCGCTCCCAGGGGCACTAAGCCAGTTCCTGATAAGTGCGATCGATAGCTACTCAGACATGTGTATATATTTATAAACAAATTGCAAACATTGTTACTTTTTACTTTGTGGGAAGGCTTGTGTTTGCTGTTCGGCTCCCGCCCTCCGTCGGGATCTGAGTCAGCTCCGTGCTGGCGGTGATTTCGTGCTCAGGTCTTTGGCTTCACACGCAATTGGAAAGTTTTGGTGAGTGTGGACATAAAGTTGGGCATTTCCTTCATTTGGTTGAGGGCCTCGTTCTTCGTATTCGACTGGTACTCGTAGGCCACCTTCCTGTTGACGGCGGTCAGCAGGCGCAGCAGATCGACGCCGTCGGGTTGGCCAGCCTCGTTAAAGGCGGCCATGTCCAGGACTCGGCACAAACTCTGAATAAACCACGAGCCATCGTCCACATTGCGAAATGAGAAAAATTCTAAAAGAAATAAACAGAAATCAGACGGGTTGGACGATGGGGAATGGGGGAGCTCCCAGGAACTCACTGTCGAAGGTGGAGTAAAAGACGAGCATGTCCGCCGTGCTGGGTATGGCATACGTAATCGGTTGGACCGGCGCCGCTTCGGCGGGGGCCAGAGATCTGGTCATCACCGCGAAGGAGGTGAACTCCACTGCCTTCTCCAGATTCTCGCCACGGCAGGCCTGTATGAAGAAGAGCTTCGGCTTGTTCTTCAGGGTCTTGCAGTTGTCGCCCAGGAAGGGGTTCCACAGCCGCTCCACCGGATAGGACATGTCCTTGGCATAGACCTTGCCCTCAGTGCCATGGGACATGACAACGAGAACGAAGCAATCATTATCGCTATGATCCTCGCGTGCCACTAAAAGTTACAGACGAAGACGTTAGCTCTGATCCTTCAGAGTGGCTTGAAGAGTACTCACCCTCTTTGAGCATATCGTTGATATCGGAGAAGGTCAGATCGTTGTAGGTCCTCACATCGAAGCCAAAGGTCTGCAGGGTGTGCTGCATGTCATCGCGATCCCGTTCGGTGCCCACGCGCTGCTTCTGCCCCTTGACGTCCTTGTGATTGAGTATCACCGCGATGCCGGCGCGTTGACAGTTCTCGTAGGTGTCATCGACGGTGGGCCTGGAGATGATGATGCGCTTCAGATCCGCCTCCGATGTGGGCGTCTTGGCGATCTGTGTGGCATCCGCTTTGTCTTTCTTGTGCTTGTTCTTCTGGCCGAAGAGCGAAAAGTCCGTGTCGTCCATTTCTGTGTCTGCGCTGGGGCAATGGCAGCCTGTGACTAAGCGCCGATTAGGTTCTAACTTCCAAAAAGCTCCCTCTCCAGTTAATTTCCCTTATCTAATCAATGCAACCGCCGCCACCCTCGCGGACGCCGTCTTGTTATCAGCAAGGCAGTCCCGCACTCTCGCACTCTCCAAAGTTCGAGGTCTCTTTCGTGGGCCTTCTGTTCTTTGTGAAGTTTGAATGTTGATTAGCCTGCTCCAGGGGAAGTTATGTTCATTGCCGGCAATTGGCAGCAAATAAAATTGGTTTTCCATTGCACGAGACAATTTGATTTGGATGACGAGCCAGTCACGCCCACGCACAGCAACATGGGGGAGAAAAGTCGGAAAATGGAAATTGCCAACATCCGCCAAAGTGTCATCCCCGTCGTCGGTCGCCTGTTGGCTGGAGCTTAATGTGTTTTCAATAATTTTCAGATGCGCAAATTGTCAAAGTCGGAGGGCGCCAAACTTTGCCACGAAATTCAAATATTTCACGCACACAAAGTAACGGAAACCGGAAATGAGTATGGCACCCCGAAAAGTGGCATGCAAGAAGGGTGCTTGTTGTGGCGTGTATACCGTGTACCGTGTGTGCCGTGAGTTGAGTGGAGTTGAGTGTACCCTAAGAAAGCGCTCAAGAGAGCAAATGAATTGGAAGTTCAATCTGGCGAAAATGTAACACAACAATAAAACTTTGCTACCACTAGATACAAATAGGGTTGTAGGCCTGGGCTGAGTATTGTTAGATCACTTCCTCATACTTGGATTTTGCAATATACCCGGCAAATCTTTTAATTTAAATTCAAAATCTGCGATTTTGTGGTTCTTTAAAGGCTTATATTTTTTATTTGGAATCCACAGCGCTTATATCTGCACAAATTATAGAATTGAAAAGAGAATTCTACGAATTTTCACAGGATTTTGTATTTTTACCGACCTCTTTAATCCACCTTTTTTTATTAATTCTTCTTTTGAGTCATGCTCGCAATTGATAATGTACTGCATATACGATACTATCTAACCGGTCTACCGGTTGATCATATCTTTTCTCTGTTACCACTCCTTGGTGGGTGTCTGAATCGAACCGAATCGAACCGAACCGAACAGTGCAATCGAGCTCGAACTCAGTGCAACCAAAAGGAAGGTGCGTATTAAAACTTTTATTCTAATTTAGCCTTTTCCCGTATATAGTAAGTAAATTGTACACAAATGATAACACTAATTACTGCTTAAGTAACTACATATTTCACTTAATTGAAATCGAGCTAAAACTATAAGGACATGATTTTTTAATCTTTCGTATAGCTGCCATAAGTACAATCGGGAAACGGATATTATAGAATTGCGGAAATGTTTGTCATCCCAGGCTCTCATGAATGCAGAACCTCTGTTCAGTCTCTGTTTTAAAAGTATTTCAAGGTAGTGAAGGTAGTGGTCTTCTTACAGAGACCAAGAGTTGGTATCGAGATCTGTATATATATGTGCAAGAAACTAATCAAATGCATTCAAACATATCAATTTGAGACAATTTTTTTATTAATCACGTTTTAAAACACTTTGGAAAACAGTATCTCTATAGAAATATAACGAAATAGGGTATACGAATGCCCATACTCTGCATGACAAGCAACAAGTCTTTAAATACCAGCAACATTGGCATGACAACATTGCGGCGGTGTTTTTGTTGGACAATTTTTCGCTAAATCCTTTTTTTCGGCAAAATCCAATAAAAGCAAGTATTTAAAATAAACCAGTCAAGTGGAACATAGGTTCATTAATCCGATAAAATTATGTGGGCAGGGCTTAGAGATCTATTTAGCAAGTAATATTCGACGGAACATCAAAAATAAGGAATATGAATAATTTATCGGTATATTTTGAAAATGAGACCGTATATTTCGGTGCTGTTCTGAGGGTCACACTGGTCTTCACCAAAATTTTTATTCGCCGCAGTTCGCTTTTGCAACAATGAGTCCCATTCCATACACAAACATGTTGCTAATTCCATGATCACATACCCTGGGGGAAATGGATGATATAGAATTACGGAAATGTGTGTCATCCCAGGCTCTAATTAATGCACAAACTAGTCAGTCTCTATTTTAAACGATATTTTGCAATTAGTTGTCTTCTTACAGAGACAAAGAATCGATACAGGGATCAGGTTTTATATACAAATAACTAATCAAATGCGTTAATAGACCAAAAAAATGCAATCTAAAACAAGGCCTTTATTAATTACATTTGAAAGCAGCTTGGAAAACAGTATCTTAATATAATATTAACAAAATAGGGTATACAAATGCCCATACCCTGGTCGACAACAAATGAGTCTGAAAATACCAGCAACATTTACGTCACACTCTGCGATTATAGAACATTTTTGTTGAAACCTTGTTTTTGTGAAAATAAAAAACATGCAAGTACTTAAAAGTAGTTAATCCTAATCAAAATTGATTCAGAAATCATATAAAATTATCTGTGCAAAACTGAGAGATCTATATAGCTGAGAATATTCGACGGAATATGAAAAACGAGGAATATGTATAGTATAACTGGAATTCGTCAGTATATTTACGGTATATTTTTCAAATGAGACCGTATAGTTTGGTATATTTCTGCGGGTCGGGCGGTATATTTTATCAATGGCTCCATGGTTACACTGCTCACAATATTATCAAAATTCAAACAAATTCAAACCGAGCGGTTGCATCGCGCGTCATCGAACAAGTTACGGAAAACGCGTGCGGACGTGTTTTGAAAGGGGCGACGACAAAAGCTTCATTCGCGCGATTTTCGGAATCTCTCTCTTCGACGCGAGTTTTCGTTACCTTGTTGTTGTTTATAGAAGGAAAAGAAAGCAGCAAGGAAATGTTTTAAGCCCAGAAGCAGCAAAACAAAGTTGTGACAAAAGCAACACACCCGACAACAGCACGCAGTGTTTGTGAAGTGCAAGAAGTAGAAATTTATAGTTGCTGTATTTTGTCGAAATTAAATTATGTTAAGTGCTTAAAACAGCTCGAAGGTGAAGTGCAAAGCGAAAGGAAAAAAGAAACGCCGCCAGCCAGCAGGGCATAAAGCAACAGCATCCCATTATCCCAGCATCCAGCCTCCGCAGCAAGCAGCAAGCAGCAGCAGCAGCACCATCCATCCACCATCCTCCTCCATCCTCGGCAAAGAGGTGCAGGCGGCGCAAAGTATGTAAAAGGTGAACCAAACAAACTGTTTGATTATAATAAGCGGGGGTCGGGTCGCCCACCAGTACCGCGCAAACACATATGCACACGAATCGGTCATGTTCATTTATTATACCAGGTACTGGAAGAGTGCAAGGGGTATATGGAGTAGTGTCTTGAAAGGCATCAATTGTGTACGTTTTAAGAAGCTCCTGGATCTTGGATTAAGAGACTCAGAGACCGATGGAAGTTCCACTATTCGTGACTGCACTTGACATTGACATATTGACATCATTAGCATCTTTATTTTGGTATCTTATTTCATCGCATAAAAATGTTTATAATATGGAAATCTATTAAAGACATATGCAGATATCTCCTAAGACTCCTTTGGTATCTTATTTCATCGCATAAAAATGTTTATAATATGGAAATCTATTCAAGACATATGCAGATATCTCCTAAGACTCCTTTGGTTTGTTTTTTCCTGCTGTTTGGCTAAGTAGTTGCCGAGTAGCGGGTATCTTATAGTCGGGCTGTTGTTTTTACCTTGTTTTCCATACACACACGGTTGTGCAGCAGAGCGGGCTGCATGGGTGTGTGTGTGTGTGTGTGCTTTGTATGCAAAACGTTGACAAAAAAAAAACAACAACAAAATAAGGGGGTTGGACGACCGACAGGATGACAAAAGAAAACAAAAACCGAAATACGTTGTTGGGCTGTTCCCAAAAACCAACCCAAAAAACAGAGCCCACAAATGCGAAACGAAAAGGAAATCAAATCAAAAGCAGCTCCGCACCGCCCACCGACGGACAAAATAGGAACACAAAAAATCAGCTTGCTTTTAGGCGAATGGCCGGGCAAAGCGCATAAAAAAATAGATTAACATACGGGCAAAAAATAAACATTGAAATTCTGCCGTCGTCGCCTGCCTAGCCTTAAGCTCCTGCAGTATTCCCGCAACAACAAATTGGCATCAAACCAGTTGGCAGAGTGACCAGGTCTTGGCGATTTGTATGCTTTTTATGCCCCGGCAAATGAAGTTGCAGCGGACATCTAATGAAGCCCCAGTCCCAGCCAGCCAGCCAGCCATCCCCGGGGGGGAGGACCCTTAAATTACTGACACACCTTGCTCAAATATTCAAGATACTTTATGGGCTAAAATGCCTGCCACAGGCCACGAGCATGCCAGACATGCCTCCAGCAGGTTGCCTTCCCTGCCGTCCCCCCGACTCTATGTTGTGTAGGTGTAAATTCTGTAGCAAAAACATTCATTTATGATCTGGCGAAGGTTGCGCTTTTGGCTCGACCCTTTTCATTATGCTCCCAGGAGGCCTCTTCGGGGGTCGCGTCGCTATCCTCGGGGGCATTCTACTACACATTTTTATGAACTCTAAGGTCTCGGGGCCTATTATGAAATATTCAAGCATTTTGCAGCTTTAAGATAAGCTTAGGTTGCTCCTTTTCCGGTGAACAGACCTCTTTGATGTCCTTCTGGCAGCTCTCAACCCCTGACCCTACCGACCCCTCCTGGCAATCTGGCGGCGGGCATGCGGGTGACAGCAGCAGGCGCAAACAAACATTAATTCTAACTGTAAATGGTGTGAAATGAGTGAGTGAATGAGCAAGTGAATGAATGAATGAATGAATGAATGAATGGATGGATGGATGCTTAGCGGCAGCTTGAATGAATGACTGTCAAGTGGAGTGGCGGCTCGGCTGCTGCTGCTTTTTGGTGCTTCTGCTCGCAGCAGTGAAAATTGCGTTAAGTGGATGTCATCGTAGCTAGCGACAATTTTGATGAACTCAACAAGAACACTTGACAGGAGGGGCCGCGAGGGGCCGGGGGCCGGGGGGGTGTCCACTGTCCAGAAAGTAAACGAAACGCTGTCGCAGGCCATCCAATAAACGAAATTATGACGCTAAATTGAACACAAAACGCCCAGAGATCCAAAGAATAGTCCAGCAAAAGTATAGTTGAACGGGTAGGAGGGGAAGGAAGATGGGAGATGGCGATGGTGTTGGTGATAGGGTTGGGGCACACAGCATCATCCACTTCGACTTCCCTTCGACCTCTTCGTCACATTTAACGCGCGAATGAACAGCAATCAGCCGAATGGGTGGGGGGATTGGGCAGCAGGGCATGGCCCTCGCTCTCGCTCTGGACCAGAAGTATGGGCATGGGAGAATGGTACCCGCAAACTGTAACTGGTTTGGGGTTCAAAACCACCATCGTGCCACGGTGCGGCGGCTGCTTATAACAGTCATTGCAGGCAGTCGATTCGGACTCTGCTGCTGCTGAACATAACAATAAAAGTCATGATAGACACGGAAATACGGAAATGCTATTTTTGGGGTTGGGAATCGTTGGGGAATCGTCCACGTCCGCTCTGCCCTAAGCGGAAGGTGAAAATTAAGAAATTAGCGTGCATATACGAAAGGGGGGGCGGCGGCAGGATGAGTGGGTATCGCTGTCTCTGTCTCACTCTCACTCCGACTTGGAGGCTGGAGGTTGGAGACTGGAAGCTGCTCGTAAATTGCCAGCCACACAGCAACCGCCACTCACTTTAACTTAATTATATAATTTGTGAGACAGCAGCAGCAGCACTGGAAAGGGAGACCAGCAACACCCAACTAAAAAAAAGGTCTACCGGCACTAAAGTCCACAAAAATACCCTAAAAAATGTTGGTTTTTGGGCTGGAAGATTCTTTAAAAGGAGAATTTGAGGATGCTTTTAGGAGTTGTAGGATTTACCAGCTTAAATTCTTAAATTCTTACCCCTCTCTGTGTAAAGACAGGGTATCAAAAGGAAGCGAGTTTCTGCGGTGCACTGCAAAATTAAATGAGCCGAATGCATTTAAGCCCAAATCAGCGCAAGCCGTCGGCTTAGTGATGGCAAACGACGACGAGGACCAACTCTGTCTTGAGTGAGTCAGCAGCAGGCAGGAGCAGTGCCAGAGCAGGGCGTAGCTGGTAAAAAAAAGTATATAATCCTTTAACCACAAAGCAATTATGCAGCACAGCGGCAAAGGAGACAGGGCCGGGCCGAGGGAAGGACAGCCGGCAGACGACAACGCCAGTGACGGCGACATCTTGTCAGCCAGTGAAAAATTACCAACCAATGACAGAGACACAGAGACAGAGCCAGAGACAGAGAGAGAGAGAGACAGAAAAAGAGAAAGAGGGAAGAGGATACGAGTTGGAGCAGCCGACAGGTTGCTGCTGCTGCCAGGAAAAATTCCTTAAATGCCCAACCAAGCCAAAAAGTCTAGCAAAAGCAAAGGAAAAACCTTATGTGAAAATTTAAATGGCCCGACAGCTGGTCCCCTCCTGTGGCTGGTTGATGACTCCGATAGCTGCCGAAACAGTTTACTATTAATTATACTCGCATTTTGGGACATTCTTGGACAAATCCCTGTTAAATATTGCAATGTTTTCACGGCGAGAGGTGGTCACGGTCCCAACCCTCCGTCGTGTACGTGCCAGAGGTATGGGGTCACTCGGGTCATGTCTCTCCTGTCCTTTTGCAGGGGATTAGCCCATAATTTTGTAATCCTCAGAGGCTGTGCCATTGATGATGAGTTCTGACAATTTCCTGTTTTTCCGAGTATTTCCCTTCCATAGAGATTTAACTGTATTACATTTATTTCTTTACATATTTTCCCTTTTATTTCCAACGATTTATGGCCATTTTTAGATCAGGTTGCAAACCAATCTTTAAGCGCTTTTCCATGCCTTGGTGGCCGTAGCAGAGATCAGGGCACAATTGATGGGCAACTGCTGCTAGCCTTTGCCTTTGGCCCCCCCACACACAGAGACCACAAACACACAGAGACGAAGAGCCCCAGACAGACCCACGGACACTGGCTTGGAGCTCGAATGTCCAGCTGTGTGTCTGTTTACATTGGAGCTGCCTTGTCCCTTGTCCCTTGTCCAGCCGCAGCCCGGACGGACGGCGCTTAATGTTCTTCGGTCTATCCTCTGTCCTCCTCCGCTGCCTGCGCCTCAATTTGCGCCTAAGTTCTGACATGCTACAGACGGCAGGCGGCAGACGGCAGACGTCAGACGACAGGGAGGGCCCTGCGGCTTTGGTCAGACGGCGGGCAGCCCTTGCCTTGGGACGACCTTTCAACGGGGGTCGCGGATTTACATTTGTTGCTTCCACCCTCCCCCTCCCCCTCCCCATCCCCGCCAAACCTCAACTCTACTCATTCATAAAAACTCACGCAAAGTCAACTGTTGCAAGTCCAAGGCTGCCCTGAAACCAGGAACTCTGCCACCTGGCTGCCTGCCTCTTTGACGTCCCCTGCCACCCCCTGCCACCCCCTGCCACCCCCTGCCTTCTGTGCTCGAGCTTTTATGCAGTTAAGTGCTTAGTTGCGTGTAACTTTACACTGTTAAGCAAACTCAGGCGAGTGCCTGCCTGCCTGCCTGCCTGCCACACAGTGTGCAAAGTGCAGTCTGTGCGGCGGGGAAGGTGTGACTTTCTCCTGTGTGCGTGTGTGCGCGTGTGTGTGTGGCAGCTGTAAATAGAGAAGAAAGGACACTCATTAGAGTTGGTTAAGGCGAAGGCATTCCACGGGGGGCCTGGAGGCCCGGGGGCTGGCTGGCAGTTAATTGTGACACGACATTGCTTGGATAAATACCTAACTGAAATCAAATAAAAAGGAATGTGCGAGTGTCTAGAGAGATGCCAGGAAGAGCATACTCCAAGCTGTTTGTGCAACAGACTCCACCTACTAGTCCTGAGAGAAATCAGAGAGGGGCGATGTGTAAACAAAAGGCAAAGACATTGCGTGTACCGAAATTCCGGACATTTTTCGGAGTCACAGCATGTGTAAGCGCTGGATTTTTACAAGCAGACACACACGCGTGTGGCACATGCCACAGACCATGCCAATACGGACGCAGGAGGGTCCTTTCCGGGCTCCACATTGCCATGTTTCCTGTCTAAGTGCTAAATTGAAATTCCAAAATTAAGTAATTTCTCCCAAGGGCAACTTCTAACTTCTCCCCCTCTCCGCCCCACTCCGCCCTGCCATCCCCGGTTGGATACATAAAAGTACAAAGACGCCTTCCAACAATGAGTTGCACTAATAGTTTGTATGTGGCAGGGGCAGGGGCAGCAGCAGCCTGGGGGCAAGAAAACGACAAAAAGGGGAGAGAGAAGAATGAACAAGGAGCCACATCAGCAGCCAAGAACAAGCTGTAAAAATGATAGGAAAACAGCAAACAACGCGCACACACACACACACAAACATATATCGTGTATATATATCGTATATATATCGCATCCCCCTCTTGGTTTTGTAAGAAAAACATTAAAACTGAAGCCAAGATTGCTTGTGGCAAAGTGTTATGCATTATTTCATCGTAAACTAAAGAGCGGACATAAAAACCCGAATACAAACTGAAAACATCGCATAACCCGAAGAAATGTTAGGGGATAACGATGAATACTCGATGGCAGGAAAGGTGGCAACTCTTATGATGAAAATTCCCTCCATTTAAACCATTTTTGTGGCAAAAAACCATATCAAGTGCCGCTTTCAATTGATTGAATGCAACTTCTGTTTTGGGGATGCTGCGGCGTCTGCCCCTTAATAAAAACTGAAATGGGTCGCCCCATGGCTTCTGTGTGCCCCAAAATCGAAAGTTTTTTCCAATCCGTTCCGCCCCCGCAGCCTTCAAGGAACTTCTACTGGCACTTCAGCGTGTTTTTTTCCCACTTTTTTTCAATTTAAATGATGGAGCAGTAAGGAGAAAAAGGAGCAGAAGGAGTGGAAGGAAATGACGCTTCACTTTTGTGTGGCAGGGGGGGTGGGGGGGTTCCGAGTGGGCAGGAACGACGGAAAACTTAAACACTTCTTGCATTTTTCTTATGGCACGACAACTATTTATTGCCTCGCCCTGGTCCGGGTCCTGGTCCTGGTCCTGGCCCCAGACGAAGCTGTCGCTGTGGCAGCAACAAAGTTGTTGGCTTTGGATTTAGCGGCAAGCAAGCGACTACCATGGCTGTGACGATGATGAAAAATGCACATGTGCTGCTAACGGCCCCGATTATTTTTATTGTTTATTTGCTTTGATTTTTGTGTGTGTTTTGTTTGACATGCCTGCTGCCTGATTTTGGCCCTTTTTCGGGTTGATTTTGCGCATTTGTGCGTAACGAATAAATTTAGCAAAATAAATAAGGACAATAATCCTTTTGAATGCATTGCAATTGAGCTTTTTACAGCCATTGACCATCCACCACTACACACACACACACACATGCGAGTACGTGTGGCACTTAACCCAACATTGTGCCGGGCTTAGAAAGCTTTTTGCCTCTTGAATGGAACAAATAAAACAGGATGGGATTTCATTTGTGGCCCCCCAAAACGTCCTGCCGTTCGGTCCGGCTGAGGCCATTGAATTTTCGCTTGATTTGCATTTCAATTCGAAATCAAATTTTTCAATTGCCAGATGGACACACAGACACACACTATCAATATGGCCATACTAAGTGGCTATGCCAGCCACTCGCACACTCTCCCGCACTCACACTTGTGCAGCATAATTCAATTTGCGGGAGGGAATCCATAGCATACTTCGTAGCGCAGAGTCCCAAGTCATTGGACTCTTTTCTCTCTCTCTCTCTGTGTGCCTCTCCCTCACGTAATTGACAAAAGCTGCGCACCAAATTGTTGAAATTTTAAATCAATTTATTTTATATTGAGTTTGCCCCCACCCCGCACTCCCCGCATTAACCTTTTGGCTTCCACAATGTTTAAAATCGAAATCGAACTGGAGACAGAGCCAATTGCAATGTCAGCGCTTAAGTCCGTGCATGGGATCTTTCCATTGCCAATTCCACTGCTCTGGCCTTTGTTGTTCTTGTTTTCCAGACAGCGGCGGCGGCATCATCATCATCATCTTCATTTGGCCATTATTGGCTTCAGAGCGCACAAGACTTTCAATTAGTTTTATTAGGGTGTTCCAAACATTCCATTGAGCTGGGGGGCTCTTGGAGGGGGGGCTATGCGGTTATTGTTGTTGTGGTTTCTCGACCCGTTGCCGCTGCCTCCGTTTGATATTGGCCTTTTGACTTTTATGCTTTTGTTTTTTCCGGCTTGGCTCAATTTTCGTTTCGTTTTTTTGCGGCTTAGGCGGTGGGGCTCCTGGGGGGGGGTTTGTTTTTGAGTTTTATGAGAGCTTCAGTTTAAAAAAACCCCAGCTTTGAGTGGAAAAAACCACACATAAAATTGAACATATTTAAAACTATTAAAATTGTATAATTTAATAATATATTTTTTCAATTTAATTACCGCATAATTTCATAAGAGAAAGAATACTTTTTGCTGCTCGAAAAGTTTCGGTTTTGCTCTGCCATTGGTCAACTTTTTGGGATACTTTTTAAACTGTATTTTGTTGTTGTTGTGCTTTTAATGCTTCTTGCAACTTGCAACGAAAAAGTTCTCAAGCTCATTTCATTTCTCTAAAGAGCATTTCAGTTGCCACCACCCCCTCCCCCTTTCCCCACCCCCTTGTTCTTGTTTCTTTGCTATAATTTCCACTTTATGACTTTTGTATTGCTGTTGCCACACCCCCACCCTACTGATCAGGCGGTGGCATGTGGGGCAACAAATGTTTTTGACACGACAAGTCTATGGGTCAAATACTCGTCCACGCCCCCCCTCACCACCCCCCAACCGACCCTTGCGGCATCTTGTTTTTTATTTGTTGTCAGTTGTTGCTGCCACCGCTGGCTGCCACTTGAGCTAGAAAAAAGTTTTCGGAGTAAAAAAGTTTCGGTTGCCCGCGTCTTGCGAGGTACTTGGGGGTTGTCAGGCACCCAACGGGTGGGGGGCACGGCTGAGTGAACTTCAAAACGAAGTTAGCACCAGAGCCAGGGAGCTGCCACCACCGACCGTGGCAACCGAGCCTGGCTGATTATTGAAAATGCGGCGGAGGCGACACATAATTCGAGTCCCCTCCATCGCATGGTACAAAAAAGTTTCGTCCTTTCCAACTTATTTTTCACTTTTCTTCTCATTTTGTGTCGTTGCAGTTGAAAAGTGAACGGATTCGCGACGAGCGGCACCAAAACTAAACAAGTTGCAATGTGAAGAGCCCTAAAAGGACAAGTGCGAAACCCAAGGAAGCCCAGAAGTTGTCAACGAGCAGGAGACAAGACGAAGAAGAAGAACAAGAAGAGTAAGAAGGAGCACCGGCAGCTGCTCCAACGATTGACAGGACAAAAACAAAGGCGAAACCCCGGGGCCCAGCAGAGCGGAGCGGAGCGGAGGAGCAAAAGTTTTTCCAGCTCTTGTTGCTTGTTGCTGGGGGTTTCCATGGCCGCTGTGTTGCAGGCAACCACGGGGCAACAGCATTAGAAGCGCAATGTTCTGGCCAAATACCGCAACGAAATAGAATCGAGAACGTGGATAGAGGATAGAAGATAGAGGATATTGGATAGATATAGAGTGGATAGGAAAGCACTCGACAGCACTGGCCAAAAAAGGAGCAAAGCCAGTGACTGCCGCATATGTGTTTTGTGCTGGTGGTTTTTGTGCTTTTCTCTGTGTGATGCCACAAGGACACACTTCAAGTGACAGCAACAGCAACGTCAGCGGCAACAGACTCAAGTGCAGCAGCAGCCCCACAAGGAGGCAAGCCTAGGGAGAGCGACGAGAGCGAGAGCGAGAGAGAGAGAGAGGGACAGCTTTCCATCTTAAACGCAGCATGCGCAAGCACAAAGCGCCGCCCAGCGGCAGTCCAAGGACACAATCAGATCCAGCTGCTGCAGGACTCGTGGAAATCCAGGCAGAGCAACAGCAGCAGCAACAGCAGCAGTGCCTGCTCCTAGGACACAATCAAATGGCCAGCAATGGTCCCACTCCAACAGCAGCAGCGGCGGCAGCAGCGAGCACAGCTAGTCGCCTGGCAGCCCCCACCGCGAGCTGTCAGGACAGGCCGGATCAGCAGCAGCAGCAGCAGCAACAGCATCAGGCAGCTGCTAGCTGCAGCAGCAAGGAGCGACCTCATCCCACAATAAAGCTCATGTCCTTGCTGCAGATCGCCAGCTATGTGCTGTGCCTGTGCGCCTTCAGCTTCGCCCTGTACGCCAACGTGCGACAGACGCGAATGGAGCTGCGGCTGCAGCGCCTCCAGCAGCTGGACGCCCGCATTGTCGAGCTGGAGCTGCGGCTCGAGCAGCAGCAGCTGCTCCACTGGCCCGCCGAACAGACCCAGATTCTGGACAACAGAAACAACAACAACAACGGCACCCAGCACCTGACGCTGCATGTGCGCCGGGAGCTGCATCGTCTGCGTCGCGATGTCTCGCACCTGCAGCTGACGCGACGCCAGCAGCGACGGCAGGCGGCCGAGGCGGCCGCAGCAGCAGCGGGCGAGGGTGGTCCAGCACTGACCGGAGGTCACGGCGAGTGCCAGTGTCAACCAGGTGAGTCCTACCTCTAAGCCCCTAAGCCGACTTCTAATGCCTTTCGAAGGTTAACCGCGAAGACAGCAGTAGACACTTTCAGGCTGCGGTTAATTAAGCAGGAAAATTGCTGCCCACCTCTGCGGAGGGTATACGGATTTTTATCGGTTGTTTGTCGGGCATTTTTGAATTGCATAAAGAATGTGGCCACAGGAGATTTACTTCAGAATTGAGACTATCCTTGTGCGGCTCTCGGGATGCTCTAGGCCAGATGATGCGTATGTCGTTTATGCTCTGTCCAAGTGTCCCCTAAGCGAAAGGACATATTTTTTATAAATTCTGCAAACAGTAGGCAAACAATCGTTATCTATGAAATATTTGTATCTTTAAATTCTTTTTAATACATTTTAATATGAATTCTTTTAAAATATTCTTTGAGGATAAGGCAAATCTTTGCTCGCTTTTTGCACTTAAGAGCAGTCTAGTCTCATCTGTGGGACTCGGGTTGAGCTGCGACGAACTCCGTCACGCACAAGCATGTCTTTTGTTGTTGGATTCATGGGCTCGGCAGCCCGAGCTTTGAGAGCGAAAGCCTTGCTCTTGAGAAGGCCTCATGTGCGCCACTCACTTCGTGTATTATGTTTTGCATTCTCTAGCCGCAGAGTGAAACTCGTCGCAATGGCAGCCGTTGAAATTTAATAAAATATGAATAAATGACTGAATGTTAATAGGAAATTTCCCATATTTTTCGAACATCCACCACCAATAGATGCCGCCAATGGAACTTTGGTATAAGGGGCAGCTTTGTTTATGATTCCCCTGCCTTAATGGGTAACTTATGCCTCGAATCCTGATGTTTCGGCCTTGGTTTCTTGCCAATTTGTGACCAAAAATATGTGTGGGCCATCAGGCACCTACATTTGCGGTTCGTTAAGGGCGACGGTCAATGCGCAATTGGTCAGAAATGTCAGACACAGCCGCAGCCACGTACACACACGCACACACACACGCACACTACCACACCACACACACCCATAAGTCAACAAGTCGTTGTGGCCTGTTGTGTGCGTGTGTGTGTGCCTGTGTAGGGGCAACGAAATTTAATTATTTGCTCGGCTAAATTTATGGCAGTTTAGAGATTTCATTAATTGGAAAAGTGTTTTCCCAGCAAACCCCCCACCCCCCCCCAAACACACCCACGCACAAAGAGCAGGGGGAAAAAAAATAAAACAAAGAGGACGAAACAGGAGGAGTGGCCCTGCCCCTGCCCCTACCCCCGCCCCTGCCTTCTCTGTCGTTTGGCATTTTTTTCCCCCAAGCTTTTCCTTCAGCTGCCTGTCGCTCGCTCTCTCTCTTGTGACATTACCGAAACTTTGATTACTCGGGGATTAGCAGAGGGCTCCCAAGCACATATCCAACCACCCAGAGGGGTAGGGGAGGGGAGGAGGGGGGTGGTATGCCTGCTGCTTCCTTTTTGGCTGCCAGTTTGCCTTGGTGGTTTGCATAAATTTTGCTTAAAATACTTTTTAAAAACTTTTTGCGACACCCACGATGCAGCGACACACAGAGAGACACAGAGAGGCATGTGCTGCCTTCCGTCGTGCTTGGGTCCTTGTTGTCCTGGCCCGTCCTGGCCTGGCCTGGCCTCCCAGAGCCTGGGAGCCGTATTAACGCAATTTGTCTTGACATTCGCACAATTAACTCACCCGCTAAGCTGCCGGGCAAACTTTTGCCTGCTAATCCTGCCTGATACTGGGTGGGTCCTCATGCATCGAATTATAGCCACACCCCCCAGCACCCCCCCATATGAAGCATACGCGAAGCATCGGCAGCAGCAGCAGCGTTTGGCCAAGTAAACGCTCAGCGCAATTATTTAACAACTTTGCCAATTCCAGGCACTACCAGAACCCCCCTTCGTCCCGCAGGATACCCGAGACAAGATAGGACACAAAGTTTTATAATCGATGCGCAGCCAGGTCGAAAGTTTCTGGGCGGGACAGGGACAGGGCAGGGCACGGTCCAAGTTTCTTTTCAAAGTCACTGCATATAAATAAATTTTCTGCACCCGCAGCCCCCCTCGAGGGAGAGTCTTGATAAGCGCGTGCCAGGCGCCTGGCGCCAGGACACAGCCTTTTCACAACTTTAAGCCATGCACAATAAATCAAAGCCCGTGTGCGGGCGGGGCGAATCAGCAGAAGGATGTCGCTTGCTTATCGCAAAGCAAAGTCATCATCGGTGAAGCCAAGTCCTGGCCAGGCCTGCCTTCCCCCCTCTTCGATTGCCTGCAAACTTCATGTCAAGGACATTGCAGTGACAGACGAAAGGATGCTGCTGCTGCTCCTTTGGGGAGAACTACTGCCGCATACCGATTAAGTCGATTAGTTTTTCGGGTTTTATCGACATTTTCCTGGCCGTAGTTGCAGTGGATCCTGCAGTTGCGGAAAATTGATAAAATTAGTGCCACAGCAGTCCCAGAGTGGGCCTTAAAGTGGAAAATAAATTCAATTCAAAGGAAAGTTACTCGAGTTTAGGGCTAATCTGCAGCCTGGAGAGACTTGAGTCAGTTTTTAATGACTAAAACTTGTGTTGCATCCCATGGTAGAAGCCCCATTCCTATCCCTGGCTTGGCTTGTCAAACTGCAAATGACATTTGGGCACTTCTCATCTCTCATCTGGCTGCGGCTGCTGTTGCTGTTGCATACACAAAAAGTGGAGGTGGGACATGGAGGTGTTGCAGCATTGAGGGATGGAAGCATAGACAGACTCCCCCCCCCGGTCGAGTTTAGTCTGTCTAAAGCTGACCATACGCTGCTCCTGCTGCTGATGGCACTCTCGTTGTCCAGCTGAAAACCCTCAATTTATCAGAGCCAAGCGCAAAATCCACTTTAGACCCACACCACCAGCACCCCCTCTACCGGCAGCGGCAGCAGCGAAGAGCATCGTTGACTGCGTGTGACATTTTGCAGAGCCAAAATATGTAGAACATGCCACAGAGACACATCACAACGAGCGAGGACACTCGCATATGCCACTCAGAGAAGCCCGAGAATATGCCATATGAACTATGGAAATTCCCAATTAGGTTTTAATGCGTACAAGTGCTCTTCTTTATTCACTGCAATTTCTCATAGGAAAAGCCAGACGCAGGACTTTTGCAGCAGGAATTCAGCTCACGATTTTCGGGGGGGTGGAGGGGGTGGGGGTTGGTAACAGCAGCCCCTGAGGAGGGCTCTCTTTGTGTGTTTTCGTGTATTTTTGCCAGTCATAAATTTCAATCACGTTGCCGGGGGATAACACCCGACTGGATATACTCCTGGTATGCCATATATCAGGTCTATCCCTCTTCGGTGACTCCTTTTTGTGTGTGTGTGTGTGGTTGTGGTAGGGCGTGTCAAAGCACTGCCTGCTCCTTGGTGCGTGCCCACAGAGCCTTGTGTCTGTGTGGTTTTTGGCCCATACCGGACACGGCCAGACCACACCTCCAATCCGTTCGGCTCGACTTGGGGCTGTATCGATTCCTGCTACACGTCAATTGATTTCCTTTTCGATTTCAATTTGCCAATGCCCCTGCCGGTGCCTCTCCCTTGACTGCCCGTTTTGGCCAGTCTGTTTTTGGTGCCCCCTTGGCCGGTTGTGTTTTGTGACTTTGCGTGACTTTTGGGTTACCTGAGACGGCCACCACGCCTTGATTGCCATTTAAATGCGGCGCTAATAGGCCAATAAAACATTTCAGTTTGTTGCAAGCAGCAGCCAGCAGCCAGCAGCATTTATTAATTAGTGAACAAATTAAAGCCCGACTGTCAGCGTTGGCCACCCCCCCCTCTTTGGAGGGATCCCACCCCCACGACGACGACGCATCGGACGCCGCCACATTTGTTGACAAATTTATTTGTCGTGTGCCATGCTGACACGCCCCCTGCCCCCCACCCCCGGCCTTTAGCTGCTGCCGCTTCTGCCACATATTGTGGCACCCCGTAATTGTGGAATATAAGGCTATGCCGGAGCCCAAAACTCCACTTACCTTTACCCTAATTACAGGGTATCGCCTTGTCGCCCTTGCTGTCCTTCACAGCTGGAGCGCCCCTTCTCTTGTTTCATTTTATTTGTGGCTCCATCGATGTGGATGTTTTGCCAAGCATCGAAATTCCTCTGTGGAGAAAAAAAATGCTATTAAAAATATCACAAGAGAGCGCCCCAGCGTCGTGGGGCACGGGGCAGGGGGCAGGGGCAAACTAAAAGAGAGAAAATAAAATAAATTCATTGGCAAAACCACAGAAAAGAAGAGACCGGGCCCGAAATGAATTACCCAGCGAGAAGAATTTCATAAATTTCATCTGATTGCGTTGCGGATTTATGGTACAGTGTGTGTGTGTGTGTGTGCCGCAGTGTGTGGCATGCTGACATTTATTTTTGGCACGTAATGCCGTATATATATCCGTACATCTCCAGCAAAGTCCAGCATAGTCCTTTTAATGAGCCCAAAATGTAATTTGGTTCATTTCGATTGAAAAAGAGCTCAAAAGATGTATCTGAAAGTAAGGCTTGTTGCCACATAAAAGGGGTGGTACTTTGGCCACGGCTTTCCATGCGGGATAATCCACCAATAATCCCCTGCCATTGGAATAAAATATCGTTTGATATTTCGTGTGCCACATCTGTCGGATGAAATTAAAACTTTTGAATACGAATTAATTTATGGGCTAGCAGCTTCCTGCCCCTACCCAGCCCTGCCTTGCCCCAAATTGGTGATAAACCAATTAACGATGCGATAAATTAATTCATGAAAATTTGTGATGTGTGTGGCAGAGTGGCAGAGTGGGAGGAATGTCTCTATTAAGATAATTTTGTAGAGGCTTTCAATTGCTCTTGGCCAGCGGCAGAATGATCTCTTCCTTGGCTTTGATTTTGGCCAAAAAATAACTAGCTAATTAGCCAACAAAAAACTCCAGGTCGGGGGGGTGGCCTCCATCATCAATCATTTGGAAACTCAAAGTCCTGACTGTCTTTCGCTTTGAGTGATA